TGTAGCGGAGCTGGAGTTGGGAAGCCACAGCTTCCCACTTGGCAAGCATCCCCTGAGCTGTATCCCTACCCCTAAGTTCTTTTAGCCTTGAGGGATGTTGCAAGGGAGGCTTCAGATGAAGAGAGAACTTTTCTACTCATGAGCTGAATCAGAAGAAAATATTTCCTATTTAGAACTCACCGGGTTGAAAGTTAAACCTTTTTCTTTGTTCATAGTCACCAGCTTATAAAACATTATTTTTTGGGGGGTTGTGCATTTTCAGATAGGGTTTTATGAAGCCCACAGTGGTTTTAAGATTCAGTGTAGCTGAGGATAAATTTGAACTCGATCCTCCGGGTGGTACAATAGGCTTGTGCCACCAGACCTGGTTTTACGCAGGGCTTGAGACTGAACTCATAACTTTGTATAAGTGAGGCAAACACTGTGCCAACTAAGTCACACTCCAAGCCATGCTCAGGCTTTCATTTTAAGGAATAGCCTCTGGGTAGGCTAATAAAATGTAGGCCGCCACCTGTGAAATGTTTTTGGTGTCGAGGTTAAGTCCAGAGTATAAAGGTAAGATTTCCCATTCAGTGAGCTCAAAGATTGGAGGCAATGTTCAAGACTATTTTTTTTTTGTTTGGTTTTGGTTTTTGGTTTTTGTTTGATTTTTTGTGACAAGGTGGTCCCTTGGGAATCCAGGCTGCCCTTGTACTTGTGGCTAGTGTCCTATCTTAGCCTCCTACACACTGACACCACAGGCATGAGCTACCATGGCCAGCTAGCTCTTCCAACAATCTTACCATTGGTGGCAACACTTTGTCCTAGAGGCTACCTTGAAGAAATTCCTGGGTGTGAATCTTTTTTTTTTTGGTTTTTCGAGACAGGGTTTCTCTGTGTAGCTCTGGCTGTCCTGGAACTCACAGGGTAGTCCAGGCTGGCCTCGAACTCAGAAATCCGCCTGCCTCTGCCTCCCAAGTGCTGGGATTAAAGGCGTGCGCCACCACGGCCCGGCGCTGTGAATCTTTCTTAATGGGTCAGATTGTTGTCCAAACTGTTGAAAATCTCCCCGGTGTTTAGAGACAGTGTTCTGGCTTGGACTAAATAAGCTAAACCATTCAACACAAAGAGACCGTTGAGCGGCAACACTGCAGGTACAGACAACACAAGTCCATAAGGATGGTTATAGGACACAGCGAAAGTTAAGAACAAACCAGGGGGTGGTGGTGGCACATGCCTTTAATCCCAGCTGTAGAGACACAAAGGCAGGTGGATCTCTGAGCTGGAAGCCAGCCTGATCTACAGAGCTACTTCTAGGACAGCCAGGGCTACACAGAACCCCACAAAAACAAACAAAACCACCCCCTACTGTTCTCTACAACTAAAACCAGTAATCTAGCTGTTTGTGCTGTGCAAGTCCGCAATGCTAGCACCTGAGAGGAAGGAGGAGCCAGGTCTTCCTTAAACTTGAGACGAACTTAGATCTTATAGTAAAGCCATCACCTTATTGTTAGGATCCAGCTTGGCAATAAATGCTGCAAAACTCCAAACAATAGTTTACACCAGGGTTCTCTTTTCCCATTGTGAACCACTAGCATCTTCAGTGGAGCTCCACGAGCCACAAGCTCCCCAGGCCCAAGTTCTTGCTCTGTGATCAGCACACAAGAAACATGAGGAAGATCATGAGTTTAAGATCAGCTTCGACCACATAGCAAGTTTGAAGCTAGCCTGGAATACATGACACAATTTTTGTTTTGTTCTGTTTTGTTGTTGTTGTTTTTGGTTTTCGGGTTTTTTTTTTTTTTTTGTGGGGTTGTTGTTTTTGTTGTTTTTCAAGACAGAGTTTCTCTGTAACCCTGGCTGCCCTGGAACTAGTAGACCAGGCTGGCCTCAAATACAAAGGTCCACCTGCTTCTACCTCCTGAGTGCTGGGATTAAAGAAAGGTGTGTACCATCACAGATCAGTGACAGTTTCTTCTTTTTTGGGGGGGAAGGGGCATTGAGACAGGGTTTCTCTGTGTAGCCCTGATTGTCCTGGAACTAGCTCTGTAGACTAGGCTGGTCTCAAATGCAGAGATCCATCTGCCTATGCTTCCTGAGCGCTTGGGTTAAAGGAGCACACCTTTAACCTTTGTCCTGGCGACAGTTTCTTAAAAAGTTAAAAATAAATAACGAAGCCAGTCTGAACTCCAGTAATTGTTGGGCATATTGCTTCAACAAAAAGAAATGGCAAAAACTGAAAACGCTCATCTGTAAGGTCAGTTTCAGATATCAAATTTATCAACTGTTATATTGTTTTATCCAGGAGTTACTCAAATAGCCTCCCAAATGGTATGCACTGCAGGCCGACAGTATATTCCATTCTGTGTGACCGTATGCCTGACCAGTTATAGGACAGAAGCTGAGGATGGGAATAGATCCTACTCCTAATCCACTCATAGCTCTAACCTTTCTTTTCTGCCCATCCAAGAACATGGTTCCTACAAATAGTCAATCACCTGCCTCATAATAAATCCGTTGGAACCATCCTATCTGTACATTGGTATTCTTTTTAAAAATAGTGTCTGTCTGTGTCCTTGTGTGTACAGGTGCCCCCCAGAGACGCTAGGTCCCTTAGAGCCGGCGTTGCGGGTGGCTGTGAGCCACTTTGTGTGGATGCTGCAGGCCAAAGCTGGACCCTCTACAAGAGCAGTATGCTTGCTCTCTTAACCACCCAAGCCTCACCTCCAGCCCCCTATATGCCCTAAATGTACTCAAACAAGACCTACATCTCGTAGGCTGCCGTCTCTTTATCTTGAGTTTCACTATTTTCCGCCCTCTCCTCGCACATACGGAGCTGATGAGCCCCTTCTCCGGAGTTCCCGCCTTACTTGACATAGGTTCCCTCTCCTCTCATTCTTGGTTCCCTGCCTCTGAAGGTTTTTCCTCTGCCTCTGTATCACATACCAGGCTGCCCCCCACCCTCACACACACCCCTGTACTTCTTCTCATCTGCTACCACTACTGAGCTGCCAGAGACATCTTACCCCAGGCCCTCAGCTGTGGAAACAAACCTGGAAAATGTAATGACAAATTCTGTCAACCTGACTGAACCTAGCAGCACCACAGAAACACGTGGCTAGGTAAGTCTATGAGACCCAGCTCGAGTGTGGAGTCACAACATCTTTTGTTTTGTTTTGTTTTTTGTTTTTTTGTTTTTTCGAGACAGGGTTTCTCTGTGTAGCCCTGGCTGTCCTGGAACTCAATCTGTAGACCAGGCTGGCTTCGAACTCAGAAATCCACCTGCCTCTGCCTCCCAAGTGCTGGGATCAAAGGCGTGTGCCACCAACGCCCAGCTTTTTTTTTTTTTTTTTGGTTAAGAACATCTTATTTTTTAAAAAATACCAATTAATTCTTGCCAGCAACCTCAGGCCTAACTGATGACAGAACTCTTACTCACATCCCGGTCACGTTTCTTCGATCTTCTTCCAAAGAAGATCAAAGACCAGGGTCTCTAGGTATACACTCAGCCCTTCAGAGCCAGACTGGGACTACTGAGTCACCTGCCTTTGTGCACTGAGTACCTACCATGATCGAAGCTTCATCAACATGCAGGTAGTCATTGTTGGCTCTCTGTTCTGTTCCTGTAGTGAACCCAGATGAACGCCAGCACAGCACCCAGGCAAGAAGCCCTGGGCCTCACAAGGAATGGCTTTGCTTCTCAGTCTGTCCCTAGACAGGAAATCCTTCAGCTGCCTCAGCTGCATCCTCCTTGCAGTTCTTGCTACTTCAGTGTTCCCGTACATCCTTTTCTTGTTCGGAGCCTCTCACTGAGCTTTCCAGCCACTTTCCATGGTCATAATTGACAATTTGCATCTTTCTAAGGATGTTTCCTGTCCATCATCTTTTCTTTCTTGCCCTCTTCCTCCTCCTCTACTTTTTTTTTTGTCCTTTTGGATTGATGGAGCTCATGCCTTACACATGCCAGACAAGCATTCCAGCTACATCCAGTACTCCAGATCCCTCATTAATGTCCCCGACAACAAACAGAATCTCACTAACATTGATCCGCTGGCCTTCACCTTCTCAGTGCTGGGGTTAAAGGTATTCCACTATGCCTAGCCCCTTAAAAACTTTTTCTGTTATTGTTGAGACAGAGTCTTGTGTAGCCCAAGACTGGCCCGGAATTTACTATAAATCAGACTTGAACTTCTGATCTTCCTGCTTCTGTCGCCCCAGAGCTGGGACTACAGGTATACTCCACCAAATCCAGCCCCTTAACAACATTTTAGCAAGGGCTCTATATTTTCATCTTGTGGCTCTGCAAATTATGTAGCTCGTCCTGGTACCAGGGACACATGTTGACCACAGAGACAGGTGGACAGTGGTGCTCTGCTCCCATGGCAGTCCCAGGTACCAGGAGGCCTCTAGCATAGGAGCTAGATTGTTCTACCAGACAAGGAAGTTCATTGCGGATACAAAGCATATGCTATGGTGGGCCTGGTAACCTGACTGAAGACTCCGGAAACCAAAGTGTTCAAAAGCAACATTGCGGTACACAGTCTCAAATATACCAAAAGGCCCAAGGCATATCATCTGACTGTGCTCTGTATCACTATTGGCTGGACCAGGGACAGGTGCCTAAGTCAGACAGACCAATCATAGTCTGACTCCTGGCCTTCACTGGTTAGCACCAGTTCAACATTATTGGCTCAGATGGGCAGGAAGTCCTGAGTCTGGTGAGATAGACTCTCGGAGGCCCTCCCCTGATATTCTCCCATCTTCCAACTCAAACTCTGGGATTTGGTCCAGCAGTTGGAGAAAATTCGGTTCCCTAGGCCCTGGAAGGTCTGTGTTAGGGGAAGACCATGAAAGGAAGTCCACTCAGAAACAAACCAACAGACAGGAAAACCTCCTGGTTAGAGGCTAAAGTGGCTTTAGTTAGAGGAAGGGCAGTGTCCTGGGGCTGGCTGGCAGTCCCTTCAGGATGGGGGAAAGGGACACAGGGTAGGCAAAAGGAGGCCAGGGTTCAGGCCCCAGGGTTACACATCCAGGTCGTTGACACTTGACTTAGTGTAGACTTGTGTTTTTCGCTGCACAATGCCAGGACTAAAGGTGGCCCCCAGTGGCCAGTGGCGGACTACATGACGGTAGGAAGAGGCCAGGTAGTCAAAGTAGTTGATGTTGAGTTTCCGGGCAATGTACCGGCCCAAGAATTCCATTTGCTATGAAGAAGCGAGTGACAGCCAGTTCTCCGTTCTCCGGATAAGAGAATCCCCACCAGCATGCTCTTTAGGGATCCCTTCCCCTTACGGGGGTGGGGGTGGGGGCAGTATCCCCACCCCACCCCTGCCCAAAATTCCCAGCGCTCCTGCCACCCTTAACATAGTGGAGGTCTCAGGAGTGCTATATTTACCCTCTGAATGCAAAACAGCCCCATCCAAGAACTGCAAGCAGTAGTATCTTTTTGTCCGGGGTGGGGGGATGGGGTGGGGTCGGGGTTTGGGGCAGGACCCACCTCATAGCGATCTGACAGCTGCACCAGCACAAGTGGCTCTAGCTTGTGGCCACAAAGGACCAGCTGGAAGAAGCGACCTCCATAGGCTGCCAACAGATGAGCAAGTGAGCCAGGAACCCATAACCTCCTTAGAGCCTAGGGGTAGGATGGTAGGGATGGGGCTTCCAAGGTGGGAGTGTCCAGGTGGACTGTAGGCCCCTCCCAGCTCTGAATCCATGCCCCTCCCCCTCTGACCCTCTCCTATCCCAGGCATCACCATCAGAGCTGAGTGCCAGGCGCACGTAGACCAGATGCATTGGCCCCTGACATACAGTTCGGCCCTGGATCGAGAAGTGGTACATGCCGCGTGTGTGGTTCAACACTAGGCGGCGCTGGGGTATTGAGGAGAGCGTGAGCCACAGGCCTATAATCATGCCATAGGCAGGAAAGCCCCAGGTCTGCTGATGCTCCACCTGTGGGCACCAGGGATTAATGGACGAGTTCTGGCAAGAGGCTCCCGTGTGTGGCCCTATGCAAAGAGGCTGTGGGGTGGGGTGCAGGAGCTCTGACCTGTCTCAGAACATTACAGGAAATGAAGACAAGGCAGATGACAAAGAGCAGCATCCCCTTCCAGAGCGTGTCCAAGTAGTACTCAAGCACAAAGACTGAGGGCAGCATGATGCAAACATGAGGGCAGCTAGGAGCTGCCCACCGCCACAGGATGGACAGTACCAGGGATTTGGGGAAAGGGCCCACGCAGTGGAGGTTCTCCATGGTACTGCCCCGTCCATTCCCTCAAGTACACCTGCCTCCCCCCCCAACCCAGCCAACCTCCCCACTTCTGGGAACCTAACCACACCCAGTCCCCCCCAGCCCACCATCTGGCTGCTGCTGCTTGAAGGGGTAAAAGCTGTTGTTCTTGAGGTGATTGGCTAACTTGCGCTCAGTAGAGAAGAATCCTACAGCCCAGAGTTGGAAGCACTTAGCAAAGATGGATGTGGGGGAGCCACTGGCCTGCTGCTCCTTGGGAACCTAGTTAGGTAGATCTGGTCAGCATACAGCTTGACCCCCGACACTGCCCCACTGTCTTTATACAGGACTCCCACCCGAGACAATTCCAGGGTTGCAGCTGAGGGAAGAAGCAAGAGCCGCCAGACACCAGCAGGGCAGGAAGCAGGCAGCAGTCCAGGCTGGGCTGCCTGGGTTCTAGAAGGTCAGGGTGAAGGGTTCTAGAAGGGGCTTTTCTATTGACCACACCTTTCTAGTGAGCATGCACTCTCTGGTCAGTCTCTACTACCTGGAAGGTATAGCCTGGCACCCTCATGGCTGGACAACCTGAGCCCATGCTGCCAACACTGTCACCTCATGGATTCTGGTAGCTGATGAAGGTCTTTCTTTTCGACCACTATTTTATACCTCACTGCCTATCCTATCAGACAACTGTGTCCCAAGGGTGGAATTCACACAGTCCAAAGGTTAAACCCAAAGTGAAGAGAGACACAGCAAACTCTTAGGTTAAGACACACACACACACACACACACAGAGAGAGAGAGAGAGAAAGAGAGAGAGAGAGAGAGAGAGAGAGAGAGAGAGAGATGTTCAGGCCTGCTATAGCCTATTCCATCATGTATAACCCTGTTCCTCACCCAACAATTTACTCTAAAGACCGTACACAGTCTAGTCTGACGTGTTGATTCCTGCTTGTAAGCCTACCACATGTATGGGAGGCTGAGATGGGTAGATTGCTATGAGTCAGCCTGGGCTACACTGTGAATTCCAAGCCAGCCTAGATTAGTGTCAGAAGAATCGCCAATAAAACAACAAAGGACTGTACAGAGTGCCTAAAAATACTTTACTGTAACAAAATCTCAAACATTTTTTAAAAAAGGGCAGGGTAAAGCTGGTAGCTGCTTGAGTTACGTCGAGTCTCTGGAAGAGGGCAGGCTTGTAAGGAGCTGCTCTAGACACCACTGGACTTCCTCCGGGCCCCGGTAGGCGCGCTTCAGACCTCGGGGGAGGCAACGGCAGGACTCCAAATTGAGATACAGCAGCCCTGGACAACTGCTAATCACAGAACTGTGGAACAGGCAGGCCATGGGAAAGTGAGCTGTTGGCCAGAGAACCCTGTCTGTCCTCACTATACGCCAGGCCTACCACCTACAGCCACGCAAGCCCAAGCCTAGTACTCTCGGTGTCCCCAAGTAGGAGTGTGAATAAGTGTCTACATCCCTCTTGACCCCTGGAAATGTGGCATGAGGGAGCACACCTGTGGTCCCCAAGTCAGACATGGCAGCAAGCGGTGGTACAAGACTCACAGAAGTAGAGAATGGGGCACTGACCTGACTGTGCTTGGTGTAACTCGGGTACCCCTTAGGTTGAGGGAGCACAAAGCTGGGTGTACACCCCCAGAGGTGCCTGAGAAAACAGCCAGGGCCTGTTCCAAGTCTTTCTCGCTGAAGCCTTGGCCGCTGAAGTCCAGCTCCCGCAGGGTGTGGTACCACTTCTGGGTCAACAGGGGGCTGCCATTCTTAGCTAGGGTCAACCCATCAGATATGCCATACAGGCCCAGGTAGAGCTGCTCCAGCTCTGAGGTGAAAGAACTCGGTGTGACTTAGTGGGGCAGGCAGTGATCCCACACCCCACCCACCAAGCCAAGCCAGCTGACCTTGACACGGCAAATGACACAGACCAGTAGGAGTGATCCTCGCACAGCCTCGAAGATCCAGCAGGCGCAGTTTTGGGGAGCCATGGAGCAAGCGGCCCAGAACCTCATTGCTCACAAAGTTGCAGGTGGAGCCAGCCAAGCAGAGCTCCTCAAGGCTGGGGAAGCCTGGTCCCTGGGGCACTCCTCGGCCACACGGCTTGGGAAGCCAAATCAGATTCAGAAGCCGTAGCACCTGGGAGTAGGGACAGGCTGCAGATAACGTAGAGAGGTGGCAGGTGGCAGAGAGTAGGGTATAAATACCTGCAGCCGGGGGCAGCCTCTCTGCAGGGCTTCCACAGGCAGCTGCAGGGGTGTGCTGTTGCAGTTCACGCCCGTGCTGACCTGGAGAACTTGGAGCTGGGGGCAGCAGTTGCCCTGTAACGGTGGGGAAACACACTAAGGTCAAAAGGCCTGGCGGTTCCCAGTGAGCCCCTTTCCTGCCCATCACCAACCTACCAGCAGTGCACCCAAGATGGCTGTTGTCTGGGAACTGTAGGTCAGCCACAGTTTACGCATTCGGGACCCGGCCTCCTCCAAGAAGCTCACCACAGCTGTGGACTCCACCTGGAGATCCAACACAAAGGTGTGGCTCATGTCACACAGGGCCCAGGCGATTTCAGGGTCGTGTCCCCACCCCCACTCCCCCCACCCCATGGCAAAGGACTCACCATAGAATGATGTAGGTCCAGGCTGTGGAGCTGGCAGCAGGCTTTCGCTAACATGACCAGAGTCTCCGAAGTCACACTGTGGCAGTCTGAAAGCTTGAGGAAGGTGAGCCGAGGACAGAACTTGCTAACCAGCTGTAGCGAGAGAGAGACCATCTTGGAGTTGTGGAGGGCAAGTAAAGGTCTATCTACAGGGACACTGGTAGTCATGACCAGCCCATCCTATGGTCCCAGCTATGACGTCATTCTGTCCATGCCAGGCCTACTTGGGTGTCTCCTCAGCAACTTCCTAAGATGCCAGCAAGACGAAACTGGGCAGGCAGGCAGGCAGGCATCTCTGTGGGACATCACCAGGGCACTCTCCCGATAGTAGACAACTCAAATGTTACAGCTGGTGTGCCGGGCAGTCTCAAACTCTCACCTCCAACACAGAGTGTACTTGAGACTTCCAGTGGATGAGGGTCAGCCTCTGGAGCTGTGAGAACCTGGCGATAGCAAGGCCCAGCTGTGGTTGTGCTAGAGTCCTTACACTGCCCCCTCCTGGCCAGAATCCTCCCTACTCCACACTGACGCTGGGAGACACAAGCAAAGAATAAGATGACAAGGAACCCTCACCGATTGGGTATGAGCCACTCCAGGCAAGCAAGGAGCTTCTTCTCTCCCTTAAGGTTGCCCTTGGCAGCCCGGCCAACCAGAGGGGGTGACAAGGTCACAGTATGCCAGAGTGAAGGATGGGAGGTGGCTTCATGCCAAAGACGGCAAACGCGTGCAGCCCTAGGAGAAGAAACTTCGCTGAGAGTGCGTGGCCTTTTGTGGGTAATGCCTACAATAAAGTATCTCAGGAGCAGCACAGTTGCCCTTGCAACTCACAGCGCAGCGGTCTCAAAGCCTGCTGTCGCCCGCTCTCAAAGCTAAGCTTTGTGTTCCAAGTGAAGACAGGTGCTGGAGCACTTGTGTACGCCCGTTGAGATGTTCTGCCCTCTGCCCTGCACCCTCCGCTCAGTGGGCCAGTCTAGACCCCAGCAGGCGCTGTTAGTGTACCTGCCAAGAAACGGCATGGGCCCATGAGCCGCAACCAACAACCCGAAAATATGCACCAGGACTTCTAAAGGAATACGGTCTCCCCAACCAGAGTCCAGTCCCTGATCGAGTGACGGCTCCGGTCGGGGTTTGGTCCTGGGCTTGGCGACAGCCGTGGGGCCACGAGCCAGTGACCTCGGAGCGCGGCGAGGGGCGCGCCTGTGCGCACGAGCGCGGGGAGGCTCCAGGTCCGGCAGCACGAGCAGCATGCTGTCCGCTTGCAGCAGGTGGTACCCAGAGCCGCGAGGTGCCAGCCGGTCCCACCACCAGTCCTCGGCCGAGCGGCCCCGCGCATCGGGCCGCCTGGAGCTTCGAACTCGACGCCTAACTCTCCCAGAAGCCACAGGAGCCATAGCCCCGGGAGCTTTACTAAAGCGGAAGACGGGTGGGCTGAGAGGAAGGGGCGTGGCACGCCTCACGCCTTGCACTACACTTAGCTTCCGGGGGTGGGACTTCCGCCCCGAGTCTTAGCGCATTAGCCGGCGTCTTTATACAGCCCTCGGCTGGGGTTTGGCTGCCTTCCGGGCTTAGTGACGTGCTCCCTATGCTAGGCGGGCTGCTCCGGCCCCACGCCCCTGATGCACAGCACTCAACGCAGGAGCCCTGAATAAAGTCAGCCAGCCACGCCCCTCGCCGACCCACGCGGGCTGGCTGCCTGAAGTTCGCTGTCATCCAGTTTGGTTTAGCCGTACCGAAGACTTGGTCCTCCGCAAGCATCAAGGACTGCTCTTTCGCTGGTCCTCCTGCCCGGAGCCACGCTTTAGGCCAGCCTCTTGCTCCCCCGCTTGTTCTGAGGGTTCCCGGTGCAGACTTCTTGGTAGGTGCAGCTCCTGATCTATCTGCCGCCTCCCTCCAGGTGCCTTGGTTTTGCAATCTGTCCAGCTCAGACCCCGGCTCTGTCTACTCGCATTTTTTGTCTCCCTCCAGGTGAAAGAAGCTTGACTCTTTTCTCTAGGCTAGCTAGAGAAGCTTTGGACCTACGTGGGGATAGAGCGGATACCTTTGATTTGTCCTGGAGGGCCTGCTTTGACCTTTGACCTACCTAATGGCAGCACCTCCACTGGGCCGACTGGTGCTGACCCATCTGCTGGTGGCCCTTTTCGGCATGGGCTCCTGGGCTGCGGTCAATGGGATCTGGGTAGAGCTGCCTGTAGTGGTAAAAGAACTCCCGGAGGGTGAGTGAAGAGAAGTGGGCGGAGGTGAGCTTCTGTTGCTGTTTTGTTCCTTAGCCTGGTGCTTTAACACTGTCTCCTCCTTCCACTGCAGGTTGGAGCCTCCCTTCGTACCTCTCTGTGCTTGTGGCGCTGGGGAACTTGGGTCTGCTGCTGGTGACCCTGTGGAGGCGTCTGGCTCGTGGCAAGGGCGAGCGGATCCCCATCCAAGTGGTTCAGGGGCTAAGCATAGTGGGCACAGGCCTGCTGGCCTCTCTGTGGAACCGTTTGGCCTCAGTGGCAGGACAGCCCCACTCTGTGGCCTTCCTAACGCTGGCGTTTGTGCTGGCATTGGCCTGCTGTGCCTCTAATGTCACTTTTCTGCCCTTCCTGAGCCACCTACCACCTCCCTTTTTACGATCTTTCTTCCTGGGGCAGGGCCTGAGTGCCCTCCTGCCCTGTGTGCTAGCCCTGGTGCAGGGGGTGGGCCGCCTTGAGTGCCTGCATGTGCCTGCCAACGGCACCACTGGGCCTCCCATCAAAGTGTCTCGCATCAATTTCCCCGAACGCTTTTCTGCCACCACGTTCTTCTGGGTGTTGACCGCCCTTCTGGGCACTTCAGCTGCTGCCTTCCAAGGCCTCTTGTTACTACTGCCATCCCCGACATCTGAACCCACGATGGGTACGGGGCTTCGGGTAGAAACACCAGGAACAGAGGAGGAAGAAGAAGAGGCCTCACCGTTG